ATGTTATTTTTATTAATTTTTATATTTATTATGTTTGAACCTGTCGAACCCTGATTCTCTCATTTTTCCGGTTCGTTGTCCGGTCTAATTTTCACAACCTTGATTAAGTCAACAACTTTTGATAATAATAAAAAAAGAGATTTACATACATATTATATAATTCTAATGTATTTATATATTTAAATTTTTTATATAAAATTTTAATTTTCAAATAATATAAAAAAGATCACAATATTAATTTATTTTAAGTATATTTTAATGTGATTTAAGTGTTAATATATTGTATAAATAAATATAAAAATTATGACATTGATGCGTAAATAAAAAAATTGATAATATGAATGTAATTAAAAAAAAAAAAAAATCACCTCCCCCTCATCCAACCATACGACCCATTTCAACCTAATGAAGAAGTGATAGCACTGCTCCCATTCCCGACTTCTCAGTTTTGTCACGTGGAACCAAGCAAGCCTTCGAAGCTCACCCTCTCCTCCGTCTGCACAGTAACTTGCCTTTCGCCGTAAGCGATAGCAACGGCTACCACTTCCACTTCTGTGCGTTGAACTCATGACGTCGGCATCCATAGCTGTTGCTTCCTTATCTTATTCCCGTCCATGGCTCCCTTCCAGGTGGGGAGCACGCTCGAAGCGTTACTGATTTTCGCTTTTTCTTTCCTTGAAAGCCTAATCTCAGTTTTCCATTCAGTACTGTTCCTCAGGGACCTCGTCAACGTGTCCTCTATAGCCTCGGAGCATCGCGGCGGTATGGTCACCTACTTCGTGACTTTTGATCTCCGTTCCTTGTTGCAGTCCTGCTTTTGTCAAGCGATTATATGGACAATTGTTTTTTTTTAATTCGCATGTTTCTTATATTTTATGTGTCATATATCAGATGGATTAATAGAGATCCAGAGGAAATGTTGCATTTTTGTATAAGAAAATATGCTTTAGTCAAGTGTATTGGCTTATTGCATTAGGGTTCATTCCAGGATCAGTATCATTCCTTCGGTTGTGTAAAATGTTGTAAATTATAAGTATCTAATGTGTAAAGCAATTAAGGTAATGAACCAGACTGCATTAACATATATGAAGATTTGCACTATTTGGATCTTTTTTAATTAAAACGAGCAATTGGAGGTAATTAGGAGTTAAATTTCATTCTTTGTTGGATTGTAGTTCTTAGTCTATGGGTGCTGTGATAACGTGATGATTATTGCTATGCTGCCACTGCGTCACAGAAGCTTAGTTTGTTATCTTTTTTTTTTTTTTCACCTTTTACTTCTATTCATGCTAATATTTCTATCCTTTTTTTTGGCTGGATGGCCTGCTTTAGTATGTTGCCATTGTTCTTAATCGGAGCATTTTATCACGTTTTAGCTGCTATGATTTGTTATATGGTTAAAGTGGTTATGTTTGTTTGCCGAATATTTTCTTATTCAGTTTAATTGTTGCATGATCATATTTTTAGAACCTTTTTGATTGGCTTTTTATTGTTACAATGACTAGAAAGGTTGTTTTCATGCTTTACTAGTTGTTGTAATTCTCCAAATTTGGTCATTCCATTTCCATTAAATGGATGTTTTCCATGTAAAACTTAAATGTGCTATCTGAAACAACATGCAATTGAATGCAAGTTGCTGCAAAATTTCCAAAGCTTATCTGATGTTATAATTTTTCAATTCGTATTCCCAAGTTGCATTTCTCTTGCGTTGAACACTTAATATTGTTAGGCTTTGAATATATTGCAATTTATTAATTGCATGCAGGAAAGTTTGGAGGTTTGCGTTGCTCATACATAAAGCTGAATGAACCGTTTCACCATTACAGAACATCAAGGTAGCACATGGTTTTTTATGGAATGGTGCTTAACCATGGAATCACTGGACCATTTTTTGCTTAATTACATAATGTTCACCGGTAATCTTAGGCTTCTGCTATATATTTTTTTAATGTTCATGTTCTTGTCTCTTTACAATGCATTTATTGTGGAGGAAACATGAGAAATTTGGTTTTCCAAAGAAGAAAATATTTTCCATAATATGCATTCTCTTAGTGTTCACCTGCCAACCAAGTAGCTTTAGAGGTAGATGTGACACCTATTGAGATTTGAGAGCTGTGAAGGATATTGTAGTGATTTGGTTAACAAATATTCTCAATAGAATTTTAAAGTCTAAGAGGATGCCTCGTGATCATACAAGAAGTATTTTCTTACCAATATTTAAATACAAAGGCAATGTTCAAGATTGTACTAATTATGTGGGAATCAAAATTTTAAGTTATAAAATGAAGCTATGAGAATGAGTAGTGGAACATAGGCTTCGAAAAATTACATCAATTTAAGATAATTAATTTGGTTTCATTCTAGGAAGATTTAATATTGAAGTTTTTGGTGTTAATACAACTAATGGAAACGTATAAAGAGCAAACAAAAGATCTTTATATGATTTTTAATTTTTTATTGATTGTGAGAAGCCATATTTTTTATTGCCATAATAATTTATTTATTGTTTTTTAAGGAACAAAGTCGTATGTCAAAGTTATATTGATGTTGTTAAAATATGTGTGTTGAGTACTTACTAGTATTAGTAGTTGTAAATAGTTATCTATTATCATAGATATATTTCAAGTATCAACATTAGGGCATAACTTTTTTCATTGGTTATGAAGATGTGGACAAAGGATATTCAAAGCATGGTGCCTTGTGTTTGTTTGTAGGTGATATGATTTTAATTGGTGGGATATCCATTAAAATAAGCGAAAAATTAGAATAATGGAAGAACCGTTTAGAAGATAGATGAATTAGTATTAGTAGAATAAAGTTTGTGTATATGCCATGTAATTTTAGGGGGTAGGATTTTAATAGTTTTCATTCAATATTATTAGAATATAAGAATATTGGATAATACTTGTTTGTGATAGATCTAAGTATATTGTATTTGTTGTACAAAAGAATGAGGATATAGTTGTGAATATAACTTCTATAGTTAAGGCTATATGTTAAAATAAAAAATGATCTCATGATTTTTATGTGATAAAATGATATCATATAGGCTTAAATGTAAAATTTATAAAATCTCAATTTGGCCAATGGTGTTGTGGACTTGAAATGTTAGGTTATAAAAAAAGTATTAATATCGAAGGCTAAAACGAGAATGTTATGATGAAAGTGTGACAACTAGAAATGATTAATTAGTGAATGATTGTATTATAGGAAAATAATGGTGTGACATCTATTAATATAATGTGGTTTGGACGTGTACAATGATGGGTAGAAAATGTGATTGCTAGACGAGTTGATAAAACTAGTGCTAGAGGGTTATGAAGGAAAATAGTTCGACCTAAGATAACATGAACATAAGTTTTTAAAAATAATTTTCAAAGAATATGTTTAACATCTTATACATGACTCAATAATAATTAATGGAAAATGAGGTCTCTTAACACTAACTTGAAAATATTGTGATAAGGCTAATGCTGATGACAATGATCTTATTGATTATGACTATCTTTCTTGTTTGTCTTAGGGTTATTTGCTCTTGTTTTATATTCTTGGATTTGTTTATCAACAAACAACATAAGCTACTCTACCCATTGTCATTTGCTTCTTAGATACAAATATATTTTTTGAGAAAAATATCTTATGATTAGTTTATTTATTAACACTCTTTTTCATTGATTATGTCTCTCTTATGATGAGGATGCTTAGGTGGATGAGTGGCTTGACCCTTAGAGATAGGATACGAAATGAGCATATACGTGAAAAGGTTGGAGTAGCTCCAGTGAAGGATAAGATTAGAGAGAGTCGCCTTAGATGGTTTGGTCACATTAAACGGAGGCCTTCCAATGGCCTGGTTAGTAAAGCTGAGGTATTAGATTTGACTTATGTTAAGAAAGGTAGAGGTAGACCTAAAAAGACTTGGTTAGAAAATATTAGAAATAATCTTTCTTTATTATATTTAAATGAGAATTTGACTTTTAATTAGACACCATGGCGAAAAAGGATTCATGCAGCTAACCCCACGTAGTGGGACAAAGGCTTGATGTTGTTGTTGTTGTAATATATGCTTTATAAGCATTTTTTCATCTAGGCGTCCTTTCATTGGTGATCATAATAAGGTGATGATTTAGAAGGATCCCAAGATTTTTGCAGAAGTTTACGAAGTCTTTCACAAAGTTTCCAATAGTTCCAAGAGGATTTCCTCCAATATACAAGTCCATTTCACCCTAATCAAGGGGAAAAACCATGCATGGGATTTCAAAATTCATTTTGCTAAAAAGAAGGATTCTAATGTGCAGAATGGATTACAACCAACCCTATTCACAAGCTATGGTTGACCAAAGTCAAGTAGCATCATAGAGGATTTGCTTGAACCTCTTGCATGTATTTAAGATTTTGTCTGCTGTTCTTGAAATTTAGGAGTTTGCTGTTATTTCAAGGACTTAGTTTCTATTTTTATGATTGTTTTGAATTATAATTCTTATTTTTAGGTAGTTCTCAAATTTTTTTATAAATAATGAGCAATTATGTTGAATGAATAAGAAATTCAGGTTCTTTATGAAAACTTTCTTTGTCGTGTCTCCCTTTTCATGTGACCTAGCTCTTAAGAGAAAAAAAGTAAGTTTAACCTTGGAAGAAATAAATTTGTTGAGAAAAATTAAGCAAGGGAAAAATTACAAAAATTGTAATTTCAAAATTAGGTGCTGGTGGCCAAATTAGGATAAGAAAGAGATTTATATTCTCTCCTTAATTTTATCTACCTATTTCTACATGATTGACCGCCCATTAAGGAGAGATTCAAGGGGATAATTTATTGATTTAATCTATGGTTATCTATAATTTAATGGATATAAGAAATTTAGGATAATTATTCATAAATTAGTGCATTTAATTAGAATTTTGGATAGACATTGATTGTGATGTGAAACAATCAGGATTTTAAAGAAATAATAAAAGTTTGTGAGCTTGCTACTTTACGATTAATGAATTACAAGAAAGAACTTAAGGAATTATTCTTGACGACTTGTTCTAGCAATCAGTTGCAATGTAGAAGGACAAGCCAATCTAAAACAAAATCAACAAATTATAGTAAAGTCAAATGCACTCGTAATAATAATCCATAGGTTAATGTCCACAACTTTAACCTCGAGTTCCCTTGTTCTCTCACTAACACTCTATGGGAATTATTCAATGGAGAAAGATCTTTAGCAAACCATGCGATGCCACTAAGAGGATGACGACCCCGACGGGCTTGACCCACGGGAAAGTAGTCGGAGACAGAGTTATGGGTGGATGTCCCACGAGTTGCCAATGCACCAACGGTTGTTGCTCGTCAATCACCTCGGTGAGGTGAAGAAGTATACGGTCTATGTAGTCTTCAACAGAATTTTCGAACTCCCAAGCGAAAACAAAGAAAGGAGATCGAATAATGTCGATTTGCCCTTGAGAAGTGTATACGAAGTCGTGGTCAACTTCCGGATCGGCCGTGCACTAACGGTAGAGGAGGGAGAGAACTTGTCTTCTCTTCTTTGCTATAGGTTTCATGGGGGCTTGAAGCTTCCAAGGGAAAGGTGGGGATGAGAGGTGGCCGACCAAGGAGAGGGAGAGGGAGGGTTTGGGTTGTGTGAATTTAGGTTTAGGGTTAGATGGAGTGAATAACACCAAATATGAATTTAATTTCAGATTTGAGATTTCAGATTTGAGTAATTTGGGAGGGAATTCGGTTTGAATTCATTTTCAAATTCCAATAGGGCTAGGGCTTAATGAGGAAAATCCAAGAGGGAAGTCCAATGAAGGGGGCCGGCGGCATTAAGAGAGGGAGAGGAGATTTTGGGAGGAGTTTAAAAGCTTACAATTCAAGTTTAGTAATTTAGGAAAGAGAATATTAAATCCACTCTAATTTAAATTTAGATTGGACCTTGATTCAAGCACTTTCCTAATTTAGAACTTGCAAATAAGGAAAGTTTTTGAAATTCTAATTTGAATTTCAAATAAAACAATAACTCTTTCCCTCCTTGCTTGGGTCAATTTAGGAAAACAATTAGGATGATTGAAATCACCATAATGTTGGTGCCAAAAGGATGGGCCGGCGGCATGGTGGGGGAGAGCTTGGCTCGGGTTGGAGAGGGGAGGGTTTGGGGGACCGGCGGGTGGGGGTGGATTTTTATGACCGTTTAATTACATCTTTTTTCTTATTTTTCTTGCTTAATTTTTTTTCGTAATATATAGATATATAATATTATTTTTGTGCTGTATTTGTCCCCCCCTCAAAATTGAAGCTGGTTCCGCCCCTGTCCGCATCACGCATATGCCCATTGGGCTACAAATCACTAAACTCCTTCGTAGGGGTACAAATGTCCACTGAATCAAAATGATAAAAATAAAACTAATACAATAACAAAAGAACTCATAAATAGATGTTCCTGATCGTGGCCATCGATTTGCCATGTCTCCTATGATAAACACGTTGGAATCGACGACTAATGTCTTCATCAGATTGACTCCTATATTTCTATAAATATGAGGCCTTAGTATGTTACATAGCAATTAAATGATTTCCTCAATACCTCTCTCACTCTGCTCAATTCTTTGTTTGAGTCCTTCCCAAGCCCTCATGCATCTGGAGGTGACAAGATAACAACCTAATTGAGGATGATATCAATGCCCCTTTTCACTGGCCTTACATATTAGAATAAAATTATATTAATGTTTGACATTAATCATATTGTGCTGTTTGATGAATATTGATTTTTTTAACAATGTTGTCATTTTATATGTTAAAAGTAAATTTTTATATAATACCCAAATAATATGTTAAAAGATGATATATTTTTTTTTA